CAGCATGAGATCAGCATGGATAATCAGCAACATGAGATCAACAGCATGAGATCAGCAGCAGCATGAGATCAGCATGAATAATCAGCAACTTGAGATCAGCAGCAGCATGACTAATCAGCAACTTGAGATCAGCAGCAGCATGACTAATCAGCATGAGATCAGCAGCAGCATGAGATCAGCAGCATGGATAATCAGCAGCACAGATAAGTTGCATATCACCAATTAAAGTGGCATTACAGTGATTTTTTTTCCACAGTGATTATCCTGGTTAAGTATTTATGAGAAATTTATAAAGTCACCATTTTTTAGATTTCAACATGTATCTCTTCAAGATTTATTTATTCACTCACATTGTATAAAATGTGATGTCATGTAAAATTATAGATTTTTTTTTTTTTACTAGAATGTTTTTTCTTGGTCAGTTAGGAGCTTTTTGGTTTAGAAAAGTCACAATTTAGGTTCTGTTTTAGCTGTCTGGTTAACTGGATTGTTCAAACCCAACGGATTGGTTCTTTTAAAATGAACTCAAACGTTCAATACAAAAAACAACTGGACTTTATTTGTAACAGAAGACGTTTCACTCCTCATCCGAGGAGCTTTCTCAATTCAAAGAGCAGTGAGTGAGGGGTTCAGGTTATAAGGCTGAGTGAGATAAGACACACACGTATGTAGATTTGACAATTCACACCTAAAAATGATACAAGGGTTGTTGGAAACTTGTTTGAGATCAGAAGTGTTGAGGACTACTGTGCATCTTCTGTTGTAACTTGTTGGAAACACACCTCATCACATAAAGAACTCCATTGATTTTGCCAACAAAGTTCAACATTTGAAACTAACCCCTGGAGAAACCTTTGTATCGTATGAAGTGACTTCTCTTCACTTGCATACTCATCTCTGAAGCAGTAGAAACCGTCAGAAAACAACTTCTACAAGACAAGGACTTAATCAACAGGACCAACTTCACCCCGGACCAGATCTGCACCCTGTTGGATCTCTGCCTCTCCACCACTTATTTTAAGTTCAATGACAGTTTTTACAGACAGAAGCACGGCTGTGCCATGGGATCTCCAGTGTCACCCATTGTTGCCAATCTCTACATGGAGGAAGTGGAACAGAGAGCCCTAAACTCCTATGAGGGAACAACGCCAAGCCATTGGTTCCGATATGTGGATGACACCTGGGTCAAAATCCAAGCTAAGGAAATAGAAGCGTTCACCAGGCACATCAACTTGGTCGATAACAACATCAAGTTCACCAGAGAGGATGCAAACAACAACAAGCTGCCTTTTTTGGACTGTTTGGTTCAGATGGAGAGAGAGGACAGCCTCAACATTGAAGTTTACAGAAAACCAACACACAGACCAGTATCTTCTGTTTGACTCCCACCATCCACTGGAACACAAACTCTCTGTCATCAGAACTTTACAGCATCGGGCCGAACGCGACAGAAGGGAAGGAAAAGGAACAGAAACACATTCAAGAAGCTCTTCAAACATGTGGATATCCTAACTGGGCTTTTGTCAAGTCAGCGAGGAAATCTACAAAACACACTAATAAACAGAAAAAGGACAACAGACGGAAAAACATTGTCATCCCTTATGTTGCTGCAGTATCAGAGAAATTCAGAAGGATTTTCAACAAACACAAGATCCCAGTACATTTCAAACCCAGCAGGACTCTCAGACAGAGGCTGGTCCACCCTAAGGACAGAACACCCATACACAAACAGAGTGGTGTAGTGTATGCGGTCCAGTGCAGCGAGGACTGTCCAGACCTCTACATTGGAGAAACTAAACAGCCTCTTCACAGACGCATGGCTCAACACAGGAGAGCCACCTCCTCTGGACAAGATTCAACTGTTCACCTCCACCTCACAGATAAGGGACACTCTTTTGAGGACCAAAATGTGCACATTTTGGACCGAGAACACAGATGGTTAGAGAGGGGGGTGAAGGAAGCAATTTATGTTAAAAGAGAAAAAATGTCTCTTAACAGAGGAGGAGGCCTCAGATTTCCACTTTCAAAAACCTATAATGCAACTTGAAGACTGATTCCCAGCCGGTTTTCACACCTGATGGGAACAGAGGGGTCTCATCTGTGAATTAAGAGTAACAAAGACCTACTGTTAAGGTGTTTAGGTGTGATTTGCCAATCTACATATGTGTGTGTGTCTTATCTCACTCAGCCTTATAACCTGAACCCCTCACTCTCTGCTCTTTGCATTGAGAAAGCTCCTCGGATGAGGAGTGAAACGTCTTCTGTTACAAATAAAGTCCAGTTGTTTTTGTATTGAACGTTTTTTGAATTCATCATGTCCTGGATGACTGAGAATCTTCACCAGCGTACGAACTCGACTGTTTGTGTAAAGAATGGTGTAACACTCTTGGTTCCAGTGAACTTGAGCAACGCTAATGTACGGAGAACTCCTAAGTACCGTATAATGTTAATTTTTCCTTTTCTTTGTATTCACAGATGTCCCGTCCCACGTATGTTCAGTGAAGGCGGAAAGCACGATCCCAAAAGATCCAGACCCACAGGCTCTGGACTCAGCACCACCTCCCAGTACTGCTAGCAAGTGCACATCAGAGCAAGTGACCATCAAGCAGGAGGAGCCAGAGCAGGAAGCAGGAGGCGCGGCTTGCTGTTCGGACTTGATTAAGGAGGAGAATTTAAATCTGGGGGGCTTAAAGTGGCCCCCAGAAGTTCCTAATGTTCAGAACCAAGACCCACATGCTCCTCTGCTCAACAGCAGACTGGATCAGGGTAAGAGTGTGATCAGATGACTATGATTATAACACATCTGTTTTTATACAGTGAGTTAGGATGATTAGATGTTCACTAGATTAATATCTAAATGCGTGATAATAAACATTTCCACAGGTTGTAGCAACATATTTAGGAAAGATTATGAGGTACCAAATGTGCCCTTTTTAATATAGATTTTGAACCAGTTAGAGACCAGAGGAAGAATGAACTGATATGAGTGACAGGCTATAAATATAAATATAATGAACCTTTCATGTGAAACCTTCAACAGCTCATCCTACCGATGTGACCAGCAGCCTTACACCGCCTGCAGATCTCCAGTCTGTCTCTGAGTTTCCGAGCATCTTCCATCTTGCAGAACCAGCTGCCGTATCACAAGCCCCTCCCCAGGTCTACGGAGTCCATGTCCGGACAGGTCGGAACATGGCCGCCCTCCACACGTGTAAGTTCTGTGGACAGACCTTCCACCTGCCCAGCCTGCTGCGGCGGCACTATGGCCAGTGCCGCCATAGGCTCCAGCAGCGTTGTCCTCTGCCGGTACCAGGAGGCACACGGACCAAGCTGCAGCTTTACCCACCGGGCTGCAGCCCGTTCCGCTGCCCGGTGTGTAACCGGGAGTTCAACCGCCTGGAGAATCTAAAGACCCACCTTCGTATCCACACGGGGGAGAGACCGTACACCTGCTCCGTCTGTGCCAAGTGTTTCCGCCACTCCGGAGCGCTGACTCGGCATTTCCGCATCCACACGGGAGAGAAGCCTTACGTCTGCGCACAGTGTGGGAAGTCTTTCAGAAACTGCGGCGGTCTAAAATTCCACCAGCGTTCTCATAACAAACTCCTAGAGTAGTCATTGCACAATTTATTTTATTCTTTTTTTTTTCTTTCGGCTATCGGGGTTTCAGGGTTTGCTACAGCGAACTAACTCGCACGAAGTCTTTGCAGTTGTTTTTACAACGGATGCCCTTCCTGATGCAACCACAGACCGCCGAGCTGCCACAGCCCTCTGTGGAGCAGAGAGCTGCCATCTAGGGCGCCCGAGGGAGCAGATGGTGGAGGTTAAGGGACTTGCTCAAGGACCCAGAGTGGAGCAAATGAGAGTGGAGGCAGGTGTGGGTGTTACACCTTTCTCACCCACATTTTGATGCCGTCGGTCTGGGGAGTTGAACCAGCGACCTTCCGATCACAGCCTTACCTTCTCTAACCTCTGCGCCACCACTCCCCTCAGTTGTCATTGGACAATGTGCTATGTTTTTCTTTTAATGTATAATAAACAATAAAAAACTTTTATTTGCTACGTAGCAGGCTGTTTATATTTCCTTGCACCAGTGTAAACCATTTTTAAGGTGGGTCGAGTCTTTATGGTTTATTTTTCTAGTATTACACATTTAACCAAGTCTTCCTTTAAAATATTTCAACCACAAAACAGCAACTTTATGAATTAATAGATGAAAAACATGGCTAAAACAGAGTCAGTCCTTGTTACTGTAAATGATTGTCTAGGTGAATTATTATGGATTATTGATAGGGAATGTGTAACAAGTGTGACCTGAAGTGATAATTAGTTTTTTTTAAAGCTAGAAATAAAATTTACCTTGTGTGCACTTTATAATTGAATTCTGTGCTTTTTAAATTGGTTTGTGGTCCTTTAAATAAAATCACAAGACATTTCTTGTCAAATTACCGTGGTGCTTGAATGTTTGTGAAGCCTTTATAATTTTTTATATTTCTGCACAAATATGACCAAAAACAACAACAGATTTTCACACAAGTATTAAAAGTAGATGAAGAGAAACCAGATAAACAAATGAGACAAAATATTATTCTTGGTCATTTATTTATTGAGGAAAATTATCCAATATTACATATTTGTGAGTGGTAGAAGTATGTGAACCGTTGCTTTCATTATGTGGTGTGACACCCCCCCCCCCCCCCCCCCAGCAATAACTACAACTTAACGTTTCCAGTAACTCGATCAGTCCTGCTCACCAGCTTGGGGGAATTTGAGCCCATTCCTCTACAGAACAGCTTCAACTCTGGGATGTTGGTGGTTTCCTCACATTAACTTCTCGCTTCAGGTCCTTCCAGAACATCTGGATTGGGTTAAGTTCAGGACTTTGACTTGGTCATTCCAAAACATGACCTTTACTCTTCTTTAACCGTTCTTTAGTAGAACAGTTGTGCATGTTGTGTGTCAATGTCTTGCTGCATGTCCCACCTCCTCTTGAGATTCAGTTCATGGACAGATGTCCTGAGAGTTTCCTTTAGAATTCTCTGATATAATTCAGAATTCATTGTTCCATCAATGATGGCAAGCTGTCCTGGCCCAGATGCAGCAAAATAGGCCCAAACCATGATACTACCATCACCATCCAAAAAAAAAAAGTTAAAGACAAAAACAACTGGACTTTATTTTGTAACTGAAGACGTTTTGCTTCTCATCTGAGGAGCTTTCTCAATTCAAAGAACAGAGTGTGGGGTTGGAGTTATAAAGCTGAACTGCTCTGTAAGCTAGATTCACATGCAGATTGCCCTCTCACCCCTCACAACAGTGAGGGGTGAGAGGGCAAACTCCCTGTTTGTTGAAATGGGAAAAGCTCCTCGCATGAGAAGCGGAACGCCTTCAGCGCCAATAAAGTCCAGTTGTTTTTGTCTTTAACCAATTTTTTTTCTTCTGGATTTACCATGTCCTGGTTGACTAAGACTGAGAGACACTGGTCCTTTGTGACCTCGCTGACTATTACACACCTTGCTCCCGGTGTGATCTTTGTTGGTCGACTACTCCTGGGGAGGGTAACAATGTTCTTGAATGTCCTCCATTTATACACAATCTGTTGTTCATCAGTGTCCAAACTCTTTAGAGGTGGTTTTATAACCTTTGCCAGCCTAATTAATGCTTCATCACAATCTTTAGTGTCATTTTTTCCATTAATTTTACTCTCATTTATGTTTTTGTTAAGCACTTGATGAGCATCAACAACTGTTTTTCTGAGGTCCTCAGAAATCTCCTTTGTTCCTGCCATGATACACTTCCACAAACATATTGTGAGGAGCAGACTTTTTGATAGATCCCTGCTCTTTAAATCAAACAGGGTGTCCACCTGATCGCCATCTCATTGATTGAAAACACCTGACTCTTATTTCACCTTCAAATTAACTGCTAATCATAGAGGTTCACATATGTTTGTCTCATATGTAATCCATCCATCCATTATCTTTACCATCCATCCATTATCTTTACCCACTTCTTCCATTTTGGGTCACAGGGGTCTCTGGTGCCCGTATCCTGCAGTCACTGCGAGAGGCGAGGTACAGCGTGGACAGATCATAAGTCAATCACAGGGCCACATATACTCATGAGACACCCACTCACACCTAGGGACAATTTAGAGTTACCAATCAGCCTAACATACATGTTTTTGGTCTGTGGGACGAAACCGGAGTGCCTGAAGAAAACCCACGCGTGCACAGAGAAAACATGTAATTTCCACCCAGAAAGGCCTCTGACTGGGGCACCATACAGTGACAATATGCATTCCTCCAACAAATGCTAGGCATATTTTTGTTTTGTTTGGCAAACCTATATTTTTTTAAACTCCTAATCAGTTCTAATAAAAATAAGGACTGTAAATTTTTCAAAATTTTAGAGCAGCAGCTGAAAACAACAGGAAAAATAAAAATGGCTATAAACATTTATATTTTATTTATATTTATCATTTTTACAAATTATTTTATTTATTCATCTAAAATATAATATTTACAAATATCATTGATTTCCCATTTAAATATAATAATAATAAATAAAAATGATGCTATCTAGCTTCTCTGTATTCGATTGCTTTGGGTGGCTTTCTTGTTTTTCTGGCATCATTTAATCGTCCTAGAACAAACCGGAAACTAACGTTCTCTGAACAAAAGCGAAGCTAGCTGAACTAGCTGCGGTCATAAACAGAACAGCGCATCTGTTTCACCCCGTGGTTGTCTCCACAGATAATTTTTGATCGCCGGAGCTGCTCGGACGGGTTTCAGGACCCGGTGACAGGCGGTTGGCGGTCATGGTGACCGAGCGGGTTGACTTTGGAGGCTCTTCCTTCCTCCGGTCTCATGACGGTGGGACTCGCTAGTTTCGTCTGAGCTCCTCTCGGCACCTCCGCTGCTGCTATAAGTTTACTGTTGTTGGACTCCGTCACCTCAGAGTAAGTTATGTCCTTATCCGGCTGGAAATTTTCATTTAATAATAATGTTATACCCAGTTCACCCTGTTTGACACATCTCAGGCCAAAGCAGCACCATCTGATGTTATTTATGTTTTACTGTGAAGTCATTCAGACATTATATGCATGTGTTTGTCTCGCATCAAAATGTTCTTGTTGGAAAGCAGATTAGCTGCGTGACTACGTGATAATAAACAGACGCACAAGATGTACACAGAATGAGGATTAATATACAACAAAATAACCCCTAACAAGTTCATTCCATTTATATTTTATGTTCAAGAACGCTGGTGTTGAAATGAATCAATTTGCCCCATTTTAATACTACATTCAATTTCAGCACAAGTTCTTATGTAGAGGTCAATTGTTTTGCATACTAAATGAGAAAGTCCAATACTGTAATATTTGCAGACACATGAGGCAAAATAAAACCTACTCTTACTGAAAAACATTATTTTTTGGTAATATGTATATATAGGCTGTGAAATGAAACTAATGCAAACTATATTTTAGAACTTGACTAAACATTTAATTGCAGTGCCATTTAATGAGATGCCACACCTAAAAAATGAGAAACTACTGTATGAATGGGTAAATGAGGGCACAGATTGTGTTGTAAAGTACTTTTGAGTATCTTGATAAGATTTTTAAAAAAGTGCTATACAAGTATAGTCCATTTTCCATTTTTGGTCTGTGGGAGGAAACCAGAATACCTGGAGAAAACCCACACATGCACAGAGAGAGCATGCAAATTACCCCCAGAAATGTCTCTGGCCAGGTTTTGATCTGGCGACCTTCTCGCCGAGAGGCAGCAGCTCTACCAACTGAGCCACTGTGCCGCCTTATACACAAAACAAATGTTAATATTTTGCTTGGATATGATGCAATTTGGGTAAATTACTATAATTTCTACATAGTTTGCATAAGTCCCATGTGAACCTTTCAGCTTGAAACTTTCCAGAATTTTAAGTTACCATGGAAAGTTTTGAAAATGTTCTGCTCCCTATGGAACTCAAAACATATCGATATATCTTTTAAACTATTGACTGAAATGCTTGATGATCAATATGTTGTTGTAACTTCTACCTTTACCAGATAATGTTGTGAGCGTGTTATTGTGTCTTTTAACTTCTTGCATGCTTCTTTAGAGAGAGATTCAATATTTGACACGTTTAATCCCATCTGTACATGGCACTACGGCTCTCACAGGTTGAACATTTTAAATTCCTACCAACGAATCAAAGAAAAGACTTCAGATTCACCTTGTTTAGAATGGATGTGACATTTACAACCTTTTTTTTCCCTTTTTTCTTTTGTTTCACCTTTTTAATATTTATTTTTCCATTCATTGTACAGATATGGCGACTCACAGTACTGGAGCATTCCAAGACCCCTCACAGAGTACAGGGGAACGGGGGGAGGTGGTACAAACGGTATCAAAGGAGACCCCTGGATCTCCGGATGCCTCTGAGTTGGGAAGCCCCCGTTGTGCACCTAGTTTTGACCTCCTGAACATGGTTGTGTCCTACAAGAGAATGGCTCTGTATCTAGAACCGCTTATGGATGCGGTGGAGGTCATTCGTTTCTTACTCGGGTGTGTATGGGCGTGTGTCTTCCCTCGAGTAGAAAATGTCAGAAATCAAGTTTAACTTGAAATATTCATTTTGTTTTGTTTTTATTACACAGGTGGAGGATGCCACTGTGCTCTCTGTTCGTTTGTATATTCCTTAACGTCTTCTTTTGCACAGTTACCGAAGGTACAATGAGACATTCAGCCGTACTGTGATGTTGCAAATGCATTTTAATAATCCATTAAGCTGTTGTTCTGCCTGCCTCTCGGGTATCAGTTGGTTGGTTCACAGTGTGTACGGTTGCGGTATCAGCACCAGCTGCCCTGGGCTACCTGCAGGACAGGTGTGGGGGCAGAGCTTCTGAAGCTGAGCTCCAGAAGAGGCAGTATCACGCTGTGCACCGCAGAGACCTGCAGGATGTGCATCTCACCAAGCAGGAGGCCATGCTGGAAGTCAAAGACCTGTAAGATACAAGCTGCAGGTTTGCAGCTAATTTTTGTTGTAATTTCATCTAAATGTTCTTTGCGTGTATGTGGATGGTTAATAAGAGCTAGTTGTGTGCACACCACACACTTGTATCTGGGTGTTTTGTGCAAAAATAAAAATTCACTCTAATTATGCTTCTGAGCTTTTCACAAAGTATGACTTGTGTGTCCCTGTGTGTACATCACGTTTATACATCATGAGGTGTAAATGCATTTGATAAGTGTTTTTACAGACTTTGTGATTGTTGTTTTTTTTCCCGTATGTTGTCACCAGGTTAAAGCGCCTAGATGAAATGCTGTCGTCTGCCTGTCACTCAGCAGAAGCTTTTTACAACGTTCTATACTGGGATAATCACACAAAGTCATCAAGGTCTGTGGGTTTCCTTATCTGCACAAACATATACAGTAGTCCCTCGATTATCACGGGTGTTACGTTCTAGACCCCCGAATAAGCGAAAAACTGCAAAGTTGGAACGCTATATTTATTTTAGTATTTAATGTGCGTTATGTATTTTCATCATTGTATATTCCCATACAATGATGAAATTGGCTCTCTGCATTTAACCCATCCATCCCCAGGTGGAGCAGTGGGCAGCTGTTGAAATTGCTCGGGGAGCAATTGGGGATAGGGTGTGCTGCTCAGAGACACCACAAGATGTGCAGTGACTGGGGATTAAACCCAGGACCTTCGGGTCCCAAGTCAGCTGCCCTGCCTCTACACATTTATATATATTTTAAGGTTTTATGAACTCTTCCCACACTCTTGCAATGTTCTAAACTCTTAAACCTGCGTCATTTTAACAACATACATATATGTACTGTACAGTACTGCATAATTTTATGTGAGGAACTCGCCAGTCTTGGTCCGGTTCTGGTCGCATTCTGATCGACTCTGCAGCCATTGAGCACCAGATGGTTTTGGAGAGAGCCGGACCTTAGGAGAGCCAGCACAAAACCACACAATGGTCCCGATGGAGTCCAAATAATCCAGAGGGATCTGGATGAAAATAGTCCAGGTGAGCTCCGGAGAAGACACCGGACATCCAGGCAACACCTCCCCGCTCGAGAGGCCTCATGGGCCGGCAAGCTGCGCTCAGTTTGAGGCTGGAAGTAGTTCTGATCCGGTTCTGGTCCAGTTCTGGTTGTCTCTCTGCATCCACGGAGCTCTGAATAAGGACCAAACTTTTTAGTCTGGTTCGGATCGGATCAAAACGTTCCCGCCATTTCAGCAGAAAGCAGCGTCCGAAAGCACTGTTGGCTTCTGGGTAGTGTAGTTCTTTGACCGGCCTTACAGGATAGGCTTATTGAAAGAAAACTACAAAATGGCAGCGCCTGTTTGAAGTATTTTTTCATTAGCTTTTTTATCTTATACCGTCCCAATCACATGAGTAATTAAAGCTGACAATCGTTGAAAATCCGCGAAAGAGCGAGTCCGCTAAAGTTGAACCACAAAGTAGCGAGGGACTACTGTAAATGTGTTTAATGTCATTTTTTTTTAACAGCTCAACACAGCATATGATGCAGATTTTGCAGCTCCAGTGAGAATATTGTGGCTGAACACGGGTCTATATTGTGATTCCTATGTTCTTCAGGTTCTATGGGGCGATGTTGTTCGTGGTGTGTCTGCTTTATGTTGTTCCTGTGGGCTGGGTGCTTGCTGGGCTCAACAGCATCATCTTCCTGTGGAACAGAGACTTCTGCAGAGGTCGGCTCATTCAAACAAAATAAAAAAATAAAAGCTCATTAACAATAGATCTTTTGATGTTATTTACTGTTTTACTTTGCTGTTCCAGTTTTATTGGACCTGAGGAAGCTGTTTCATGTGGGTCAAACGCAGCTTTCAGAGGGAGGCTGTGAAGAACAGGAACAGGGCAACTTGCTGGACAGGACCCCCACTCCCACTAGCTTGGAGGTAAGATAAATAAATGTGATGACACAGAAAATTAGATGAGTGGTAATGTTTTAAAATTCAGCTGCTCTGGTTTACGTTAAACCTCATCCTAGTCATAAGCTTCTTTCCCCGTTCATCCCAACACTCAAAGAATTTAATGCAGTTTAAATTCATAAATGGACGTTTTGCTTTCATCCATGGAACCACTTCCAGTTTTAGGATTTCATTCCCATCATATTGACAAATGGAGCTCAGATTAGTCTGTTAGTGTCGCTGCAAGGCAAGCGTGAACAAAATACTTCACTATTTACCATAATTTTTCACTCTGGTTTTAGATTGATTATTTTTTATGAGCGCTGTCCAGGGTGCTGATTGTGGGACCGCCAGGGTTTCAGTTGCTGTGTGTGTGTGTTCATGTTCGGTAACAGGATCTCTCTCCTGGGAGTATTGAGGAAGCTGAGGAGGCCGAGCCAGATGATGAATTTAAGGATGCAATTGAGGTGAATGCAAACCTAAAGTTTTGATTTGCTCTTTTCAGTTTTGTGCACCACTGAATCCCTCTACAACCTGATATCCCTTATTAGTCTGGCATTACTAGTCAATTATATTTGCTCTGAACTTCTTGTTTTAAACTTTGTCTTTAGTTAGTACAGAACGAAATAGGTTCATACGTTTGGAGATATTGACTTCTAAGTAATCAGAACAATACACGATAAAACCTTGCAATGACTGCACAAGCTCTGCTGCTTGTCAACGCTTTGTGCTTCGTGGGGTCATGCTGTTGGCTCTGCTTTTAAATCTGTGGACATTTTTATTTAAATGGCTTTAAAGTCCAAATGCTAGCGGGGAGTGTTATTGTTTTTTTCTATTCACGTTTTGTGCAGAGATTATTCCTGAAATGGAACATCTTTGTCCAAGCCACTGTGATTAATCCACGTGCTTATATGAGCCTAAATCAGTCCAGTATGAGATGAAACATGTCTGCTTGACATGGTTTAGGATGGACTGTGTGGAAATCTGTCTGAGCAGGAGGCAGGCCAAAGTTACCGCTGTAAAGCAACTAGCTCTGGTTCCCTGCATCAAAATATGTGATGTAAATCTTATTACTGTGCGCTTTTCTTTTGTTTCCAAGATCGATGGAGTAAAATGTTCAGGGAAATGATGCATCCATGCAGGTTACATGCTTCTTTTTCCCCTTTTTTATTTTGCTGTCCTTTAAAAGGAAAACTCAGTTTCACTGCAGGTGAGTTTTTCCTGTTTACTGAAGACAAAAATAACATTTAATGTACATTTTGTGTTTGTAAGTTTTGTGACGTGACCTTGTTGTGTAGTTGTTGATTTGTGTTTTGGAGCATGTTTGAGTATTGTCTTCATCCTACGTGTTCCTGGTGTGTAACGTTCTCATGTTCTGTTTCCTGATAAGGAAACTCCTTTACTTCTCTTGGTAAGTGGATCCCATCCATGAACCAAGTTATGCAAATCAGCTTATCTCCTCGATTTGTTTTGAGTGAAATGCTCTCGTAAGGATTTTTCAAATGAAAAGCATGTTTGCTGAGTTCTTTTTTTAATAACAGCATGTGTAGAAATTACTCGATTCACAGTAAATTATTTCCGAACTAGAGAACAGGCCACTGTGCTTTTTATTACCCACTGCCATACAACCAAAGCAGCCATCTAATTACCCATGTATGTGTGTGTGTGTGCATGTCTGTTAGCAAAATATCTCATGTCCCACTGGATGACTTTGTATGACCATCCAGTGGTTGGATATTCATCCACTGTACAATTATAAAAACACTGGAGTCAGTTTGATTTAAGATGGCTGCCACAGCTAATCACCCTTAAAAACACACACACAAATGGCTGAAACTCAGTCAATTTTTACAAATATCGAGCTAAAATTTGGTGTGGTAGTAGCTGAGAGTCATGTCCAATACATACTATGAGCTGTAACTGATTCTGTACTATCTTCTTTTAAAACGTTAGTATACATTTTTTTAAATAAAAGTTTCGAGCAGTTTGAGGTACTAAAAGTTGTTTGAAATTTTGGAGCAGCAGCTGAAAACGTCACGAGCTCTACTTTTTGTGTTGGTATCTTGAAACGTCGAAGATCAGGTCGTTCAGTTGCATTTGACAAGATGAAGTATGATGGAAAATATGTTGCAGTTAAAATTGGACCACACTATGAAGAACTTGTAAAAATCGTTATAAAACTTCAAAGTTATAAGGTTAGAGAGGACAGACTGAGATGGTTTGGACATGGACATGTCCAGTGGAAGGACAGTGGGTATATTGGTAGAAGGATGTTAGAAATTTATTTATTACCCTTTATTTAACCAGGCAAATCCCATTGAGATCACAGATCTCATATGCAAGGGAGGCCTGGACCTGAAGGCAGCCTAACATGCATGTTTCTGGTTTGTGGGAGGAAACTGGAGTACCCAGAGAAAACCCACGCAGGCACGAGAAGAACATGCAAACTCAACACAAAAAGACCCCAGGTCCAACCGGGGATTGAACCCAGGACCTTCTTGCTGTGAGGCAACAGTGCTAACCACTGAGCCGTCGTGCTGCAATGACGAAATGCAGCTGCCAGGAAAAAGACAGAGGAGAAATATGGATGCAGTTAGAGAGGACATGGAGGTAGTTGGAGTGAGGACAGAGTGAGAATGAGGAGGATGACTCGCTGTGGAGACCCCTGAAGTGGGAACAGCCAAAAGAAGAATGAAGGGAAAGTAAGTTTAATGAATGAAGCTCTAGGGTTGTATGTTCATGTTTTTTTGTTCCTGTTAAGAGAGACAGCAGAATGTATTCTACGAGGATTTCAGTTTAAAACAGTCAGTTATGAGTAGGGGTGCACCGATTGCAGTTTTCTGGCCGATCACCGATCTCTAAAAAGTCTGACCTGCCGATACCGATTTTGTTTTATAACGACACTGTCAGGTGTTATAAGGCCACAATGCACCTTCAATTTTCCAATATTATTTTATTGAAAAACATACCCTTGAACAATATCCTAGAAACAATACAAAGTTGTTTTAACTGGCAATGAGGTAGTGCTCTGAAATATAAATGAAGTTCAGACAACTGTTGTTAAAACAAACAAAAAAAATCTGTAAAATCCTCATACAAGTATCGGCTGATTTCTCAAAATTAAGGAAATCAGGCCAATAAATCCAGACGATTCATCGGTGCACCCCTAGTTATGAGGGTTACTGAGCTTTTGCTTGGCCGACTCTAAGGTCCGCTGTATGCATGTACTGTGTATTTGTCATGTAAATGCATGGATTATATTCACTACAGTAGTCCCTCGTTTATTGTGGGGGATCCGTACCCTGAAGACCCGCAATAAGTAAAAAAAAACATGAAGTAGGAATAGTAGTACAAGTAGTAATTTATTTCAGAGTGTGTGTGTGTGTG